TGTTATACAGGTTTTGTTTCCCAATCCCCTTCAAATAGCAAGAACTGTGAATACCGTTACTACACCTAAAGATCATCCTAGTTCGGACTCCATTGCCAGATATTTCCTGCCTAAATTTCCTTATTCCCTAAACGTCCTCCAACTCTCTCCTTCTTTCACTTTCATGTCGTTTAATCTCTAAAGGAAAGAGTTAGTTTGTCTGCATGTAGTCTTGCTGTGATAATGAGGCCAAATTCATCATTTTGAAAGCTCATCTAGACCATCTCTTCCCTGCGAACCGATAGCTTAGCCTCTGTTTCACCTGGTTATTTCTCTTTCTTTATTCAATGAGCCAGTTGCACTGGTAACAGAATCATGTTTTGATGCTTGGTTCTAGTAGATTAGCTCTAAATAAAAAGGTCTGTCGTCAGTCCCAACAGCAACTCTCTACCTTGAATATTAACGGAGATATCTCACCTTGACAAACTCGATTTATGACGTCATCCACTGCGGTAGTGCATAACATGATACCTCCTACCGTGGTGGATAACATCATAAATCAAGTTTTTATAGTCGAGATACCTTGGTTAGTATTCAACGTAGAAATTTGCTGTTTGGCCAGATCTCATCATTTTTAGTTGATCTGCATGAGTAAAGTATCAAAACTCGATTCTGAGACCAGCACAACTGACCTATTCTTCCACTCCAATGTTTTATTTCCATTGTTTCAAGTCTAAATTTTTTTGCAATTACCTGTTTACTCTGCTCACTAGAGGTGTTGTCAGCTAAGTAGGCACTCGTTTATATTCCACTTGAAAGCGATAGACGCCGTTAGTTGCGATGTCATCATATGGATTCTCCATTATATCAAATTGGATCCAAACAATAACATTGGAGTAACCTCTTTCAATGCTACTAATGCGAATAAATCGATAAATATCGCTTTTTTGTGATGTGCCACCAATAGCGTCTATTGCGATGCAATTGTCCAACAGCAATAGGGGATATACGGTAGCCTGACTTTAAGCTTAGTCAATCCTCGATTACTGTTGGACGACTGCATTGTAGTTGCTTGCAAACGATATGTATTCAAGTGCCAACTTAGCTGACGACACCTCTACCTCAAGTTAGCAGCATTACTTCTGATAGTTAAGCACTAGTTTTTCCTACCTCTTGAAGGCATAAAGTTGTTTGACCAATTTTATCTACTACAACTACTGTCTACTACTGTCAACCTTCTCTGGTATTGAATCTTGCAACACTCAAGAATATTTATTTTTGGTTCACAGTGTACTCTCTCTTCTTAATCTAATAGAGTGGGTATGTTTTCAAAACCATTCATTTCTTTAAGTTCCATGTACAACAATGCTTACTTGTCACATTTTTATGTCTTTGATGGTATTTTGCTCAAAGGAGTCAACATCTCAAAATGGCAGCAGCTAGGGTAACATTAACTGATGCCTTATCCAACGTTGACGCCTCAGATGAGCTTACATTACCTGATGAACTACCACTTATCGAAGCTTTGCCATGCTCTGTCATTTATCAAGCTAACTTTGATACCAACTTCGAAGACCGGAATGGGTTCGTCACTGGCATAGCAAAGTACATTGAAGAAGCCACTGTTCACGCCAGTTTGGGAAGCTTCACATTCCTGCTACTTGACCACCGTTAATCTGTCTAATTGAATGGATGATAAATGATAATTTATGATTTTTTGAAAAATCTTGCTTTTTCAAGATAATTTTGAGAAAAATGAGAGGAAATCATAAGTTTTTAGCAGTGAATGAATAATATCAAGAACTACCGATAACATGCTTAAATCGATACTCAGAAAAAATGATATGACTCTTTCACTCTTACCTAAATCATTACAGAGCTACTGCAGGATTAGAAACATCATATCTAAAAAGTTAGTTCTATGCAAGTGTTTTCAACTTGAAGCAGACATTTTGAAAATAGGTAGAGGCATCTATTTTAGAAAACAGGCAGATATTTATATATGTCTTTGATGGACGGTCATTTGAACCTTGATTTCAATTTTAAAGATTTAAAACTATCCAAGGAATCCATTGCCGATCGACCTTTAAATGTAAATGTACCCATTTTTGAACCTTTATAGTATATGCACTGAAAACAGTCAATAGGTTTTTTCATTGAGGCTTAATCGACACCGGTTTTGGTCATTTTAAAAATTCAGAGCTTTGCCATGTTGTGAATTTGAAGTTTTCAATCTACTAATCCTGTAAAATATCCATTTGTAATGCTCCAGAATGAACTGTTGGAAGATGGCTTGGAACATGCAGTCATGCTGTACACGTGGTGATGTTGCTCTGGAGCCATACCGCAATCAAAGTCCAATGAGCAGCCGAACTGGGTGGAAATCTATGAAAAGACTATTAAAGTATTAGCTCCTGAAGTGAACAAGCTGCTTAATATCATGTATTTTCAGGTGAGCATTCTAATTTTGTTAGATTTCGACATTCAGTAGGCAATGGACCACTAGACAAGGTACGAATTTCAGCATTCTGATACATGTTTCTTAAATAAAATTTCACGTAGAACACGTAGCACACAACAAAAATTACCGAAATCAACCCCTTAAGAAGATATTTAATGATTCTTGATGCGTGAATTCAAACCACCTGCTCATGAAAACTCAATGCTCTACAAGATTCACATCGTGCGCTAAACGTTATCATGACAGTCTCTGCGATATAAAAATCTGGCAACCTCAATCTTGACGCTTTGGCTCAGCTATAGCAAATTGCTTATAGTTTGAAAAATACATGGCGTCAAATGAACATTGCTCGACTGAGAAGCTTGCTGAAACTGTTGTAGTGCGCGATTTGACTCGCGTAGAGCTTTGAGTTTCTTGTGAGCGGGCAGTTCAAATTCCTCGTAACCAATGTGAAATAAAACGTTAATATCTTCGTTAGGAGTTGGTTTCAGTAATTTTCGTTGTGTGAATCGTGTTCTACGTAAAATTCTGGTTCTGAAACATGTATCAGATTACTTAAATTCGTACCTTGTCTAGTGGTCCATTGAAGTGGTGTATTACAGGTGAAAACTTGCATCACGTTCTCTACCAATGTGTCTAAGATGTGTAACTGATCTTGCCGGGCCAGGAAAACATGCATGCTTCAAACCACAATTTCCACTAATTGCCACAATGCTAGAACTTGGTTTAGGTTACCCACCTGACACCTGTAGTCTCTAGTTATATGATTAAATTAATTTTCTTTGTCTTCAATATTAAAAATTTCAATAAAAATATTTACTTAATTAACTACAATTACTTCCCTCTGCTTTTTAGGTCCGTGCAAAAACTGGTGATGGTGCCTATATTGCACAACTGTGTGATCTTTTATTTATTTAGTATGAATCGGTACAATTGAAACAATAAAAATTGTTATAGTACGTGCAAAATACCAGTCACCGTGCCTGAAATTACCTGGCGCATTTAGCAAGAAAGGGGTCTTGGCTGTGGACTTGTCAAAGGTCTTAGTCTTTTTGATTTTCATTCAGTTTTTCCGTCTATTGACTTCCATCTTATTTTTGCCAATATTCATCGGAAAATTTCATTTTTTCTAGGATTTATGCCGTAGGGTTAGATCTCAATTGATTATAGGTACAATGATAAATTCTCGCTTGCTAAATGATAATTACTTTTTTGAACTATTGCCCTGAGGGAAGTTTCATGCTTTCATAGAGGAAACTACTGTGTGAATCTTCTGAAAATTTTCATCTAGAGAATTATAAAATCATGAAGAATATTCAGTCGGAGTTTCAGCGAATTACATACATTTGCTTGATCATAATGGATGAAAAATTGGTTAAGATTCTGAAACACAACACCTGAAGAGTGTCCTTTCTGTGCTTTGATTTTCTCAAAAATTGGAATTACTTAATAAATCCTAATAATGAATTTGAATTTCACTCCATCACTCTCTCCATACTTTACTTTGATTATTCCTCAATTTATTTACTCCTATTAAACCATACATGACATCTAGAAAAGTCTTACTTTCTACTTACAAACCATGTTTTACGCTCAGTCCGCATTTCAGCAGCTTCTGTGGTCACAATCATCAGTTGATTGTCAATGTTGATGGCGGCCAGGAGGGTAGTTACTACAGCGCATACCGATCATGAAAAACGTAGGTGATAGAGTTTTCTAAGTTTGGTGCACATTTTAATCACATAACTTTTACTGTCAAGGAATAAATCAATTTAGTGAGATCATTAATTTTTTATTTAACTCCAATTATTTCTTTCACAGCGAAAAGCTATTGAAAGATTTTGTGCAGAGGTAAAAAGGCGGTGCCATGCTGAAAAGAGGAAGGATTTTGTGTCTGGAGCCTACTTGCTCACCTTAGGAAAATTTATCCATACGTTTGTGGTGCTAGATAAACTGAAAAACATGAAATCATGTGTGAAAAATGATTATTCTACCTCGTGTCGGTAAGTTTATGTCTGTAAAGTCTTAAAAGATTTCTCCATTTTGAAGTTTTCTCCTGTGTACCTGAAGGGAGATTATTTTTAAAAAATTATGGTACAGAAGTAATATCGCAAAAGTCTCTACAATAGCTGTCCGAAAATAAATAATTAAGTCTTACGTTTTAATTAGAGTTTATTAGGACTGGGGAAAGAAAAGAAGAGTCACAAGTCACATCAGTCTGAATGCATCAATCATCAGTGGGTCCATTGGTTAGCATGTAAGTATCTGTTGAATGGTGCAATTTTTGGATGTGACATTTGTCTCTTCTTTTCTTTCCCTAGTTCTATATGTCTTTCAGCCGTCTGGCATATCTTCAATTGTTAAGAAATTTTACCCAAATTAGTCAGGAAAATTCCTTTTCTAAACTCTGTGGCAACCCTGTGTTGCATTGTGGAGAATTAAGTCCTTTGTTCTTCACATCGAACAGTTTTCTCCCTTCCTTCCGATTCATATGAAACCTCCATTGTAGCTCAAAAGTATCGTGACAAGTCTCTACACCATTGCCTCTTTTTCCAGTGCTGCCCAGTTATCGAAAGTTATGGCAGATTCACACATCCTGCAAGAGTCGCAGAATTCATCCATGTTTCTCGCTTCACAGAACAAAATTCGAGACACGGTGAAAGAGAATTTGGAAAAAATAATCGGTTACAAAGAGCTTCTGTCTGATGTTGTCAATCTGTGTGTGCAAATGTTCGAAACAAAGATGTACCTGACTCCCACCGAAAAGCACATGCTGGTTAAAGTGAGTATCATGGCATCCCATCTTCACGATTCGTTCTACCTTCGGAAGGGTTTGGTTTTGACTTTTTTTTCAAGGCCTTGGAAGTGCTTGAATTCTTCTCTACTGATAAGATTCAGCAGTTAATTTAAAGAAATAAAGAAACATTTTTTGATATTTCGTTGAATGTAGGAAAACATCTTGTTTACAAACGAAATCGTTGTCTTTCTGAAACAAGAATCCATAATTGTGAACTCAAGCTCTTATCACAGGGAAATTACTGTGTTTTTGAAAAAATTCGGAAAATAAGAGAATTGTTGTTCCAGTTTTAAGCCAGTTTAGACTCTGAAGATCTCAAAATTGAGATTTTAACACTACTCTTAGAAAAGTGTTTTTTAAAAATTCTCGCTGCCATTAATGCTCTTAGATTTTAAACTAAACTTTTTAATTCAAGAAATGTAACTGAAGTTCAGGCGATTCGTGAACTTTTAATCAGATTTTGTATTTTGGCCATGTGTCTCATTGTCAGTCCTTCTGCGCTGTTCTTGACTCCATAGCAAGACAGTTCTAAGTTTCTCAGTATTTTTTTCTCAGGTTTCACAATGATTTGAAATCTGCCAGATGTAAGTATTACCACTTATCTCTATGGTCACTAAATATTTTTTCATGCCCTTTTAAGACTATCGTAGGTGAAGAATTTTATGGTGCAAACCAGGTATGGAAAGTAATGTAACAAAAGGGGATTGTAACATTAATTGTCCGAAGGGTAACAGTTGATCTAAGTATATGACTAGGGGCTTGATTCTGTGTTGCTCTCGGGCAATGTCATAGGCATGAGGTACGCACCCATCGCAGTTACACATCTTCTCTTTCAATGTGATGGTGAGAGATCGTCAGACTAGAATGTAATTAAAATGCTGCCTTCAATTTTGTTTATTAGAGGTGAGATTGTTCGGTGAAATATTGAGAATTTGTTTTTCACGACCCTCTGCGTGACACCCTCATAATGTTTTGGAGTGCGACATGTGAGGCAAAACTTTCGTTGGCTATTTGTTATTAATTTTCTTCACGTCTAAAAATTTTTATCTTGAAGAGTTTTTAGTTTATACCCAAATTGGTGGGCAGTGGCTAACAGCAAGAGCAATTACTACTAGCTAATACTACAAGTCGGGAATGACAAAGAAAAACTCTTAAGATGAGTGAAGAAACTTAAAAATTTATTATCTTAATTTTTAAGCCTTCCTCACCCATCATTCGAATTTTTCATTCACTCCCTTTACCCCATTTCCAGCTGTCGAGTCCACCATATGAGTGACTAAATTTCAATGTTAGTACCTCTTTGATACCTGTCTCTAAAATCTCTCACTCCTCCTGAGTGCTTGGAAATTGAGGAACTGACAAAAAGTGTTCTTCGATTCCATGATGCATCATCTAAATGAAGGAGAAGTGATGATTTTAAATCTAAAGGGGTATCCTCTGGAACTTCAGTAACCAGTGAAAAACTGCAGCATCAAATAGTTGGCGTTGCTTAGATGACAGTAGAAGCTTCAGGATAATTAATGAGCCTCCTGCTTGGTGAATGATGATCATTTTTTGTCTTTCTCCAGCACCATTTGCAATAAATGTCTGCTTTGATTTCTAAAGGAACCTTGATTTGCTCCCTTTCTTCTCTTCTTAGATGAGAGAATACGCAGCACAATGTTCAGACACCTTTATGACGCAGTTCCATGTGGGGATTACAAGTACTGTCTCATATTTTGTAGTTTTACTAATGGTTTTAATGTTTGTTTTTAGGTTGTCGGAAAATCGGAAGCTACATTTCGTTCGTGCGTTAGTTATTCGCTTGGTTTTTGTCTGTTTTTCTAACTTAATAAATTGGAAGATGCAAAGATTCAGTTGGACGCGAATATTAAGTGTGAGTACTGTACTATATATTTTTCGGATGGTTTTTTATATTTTCTTGAGACGGAATTTCTCTAATAAAGTCAACGAGTGAGAATATGAAAATGATTGCATTTTGTGCAACTAAGACTTCTCACACACACACGGCTGCTGATGTGTCAGTTCTTATGACCCTTCAAAAGTTTTTTCCTTCATCATTTTTTTATTTTTTAGTCACTTTTCTGGAATGTTATTTCGAATGATGAAGTAAAAGTTCAGCGGTAAACGCCATTCACTACAATATCAAACTGCCGATCCAACAGTGGTTCAAACAAAAACATTAAGAAATCCAAAACATGTACTGTGCATGAAGTGTGAAGTTAACTTTTAATGTAGCACTATATATTAAAGCGTTGTTTACTCCCTTTACTATAATTGAATTGATGTTTGATTTTATCACCTGGGAACAAAGTCTTCTCATCTGAGGGGAAAAAGTCCTCCAGGCGAGGACATGTGGAGAGGTTCGTGTGATGGAAATGTGAAAATAATCAGAGCTAGATTATTTCTGAAAATGGAACAACTCTTATAAATCATACAACACAACAGGTGAATAACCCAAAGAACTCCATAATTATAGAGATATTAATAGAGATAGCGCCACCAGTCCCCACTGAGAATTTCACTTTCCTTCGACGATAACTGAAATAATATTTCTCGAATTACAAAAAGCAGATCCACAAGATATAGATTAATTTTTGCTTGATTTTTTGAGCCAAACATATTGGCACTTAAAATTACAAGCGCAGAGAAAGTACGGCTGAAACTTTCAGGTCACAGGCGGCGGCGGAGCGCAGAACGGAATCCCTCATCAGGGTGTCTAGCAACCGGGAAAGTCAGGGAAGAAAAACGCAAAACCGGGGGAGAAGCGAACTCCCGTCAAAGATCGCGATTTTTTGCATAACTTTATGGCGCTTCGATACGCTGTGCAACAAAAAAAATGACAAAAATGTCTCCCGGACGAGATAAGGTGATAACTATGTATTTAGAGGCGCTGAATCCGAATATGACCTCCGTTTTTCCCCATCACCCTCCAGTTTTCCGAAAAAGTCAATTTTACCCGGAAAAATGGCCATTTTGGGGCATTTTTGGTGTTTTTGCGACTATTACCCCCTGCAGAATGTATGTAAAATTTTTCTCTGGTACGAAAAACGGTTCCTACGATGTATTTTGAGCCGCTGAGTCCGAAAGTGACCTTCATTTTTCCCTGTCACCCCTCAGTTTTCCGGGAAAGCGACTTTTCCCCGAAAATGAGCAAATTTGAAGTATATTTTTCATGCATGCCGTTTATTTGTATAAATTTTCCTGGACCCGTGGTACAGTCATTCCTATGTGTTTTAAGCTGCTGGATCCGAATATGACCTCGGTTTTTTTCCATCACCCTCGAATTTTTCGGTAATGTCGATCTTTCAGAGCCTAAATTTCAGTATAAGCTTTCCCGGACTCAAAGGGGATAAAAAATGTATTTTAAACATGTCTGCGACGTGTGATACATCGATTCCTATGTGTTTTGACTCGCTAAACCCGAATATGATCTTGGATTTTTCCGATCACCCACGATTTTCCCGGAAAATCGATTTTCCTTGGAAAACTAACTTTTTACCTAGGTGTCTTTCGGACGATTTTTCTGTTGCGAGGAGTCTAAGAAATGTTCTGAGATCCTCTCTAGATCCCTCCTGCTGTACCTATTAAGAGCAGCTGAATCCAAATTTGATCTCTATTCATCTCTGATAACCCCCCGTTTTCTGGAAAGTCCGATTTTTCCGGGAAAAAAGCTTTTCCGAACCGTCCCCACCTCCAGGGAAATTTGAAAAATTTTCTGCATGTGTGATACATCGATTCTTATGTAATTTGAGCTGGAAAACCCGAATTTGACCTCAGAAATTTGTTATCACCCACCATTTTTACGGAATACTCGATTTTTTGGAAAAAATGGTTATTTTTGACCATATACGGTGTTTTTGCGACTGTTACACCTTGTGGAATGTGCGTAAGATTTTTCTTGGCTACAAATTAGATTATGCATTAGGTATTGTGAGTCCCTGAGTCCAAAAATGGCTTCTATTTTTTTCTATGAGCCCTCAGTTTTGTAAAAAAGACACTTTTTGCAGGGAGATTGAGTTAAATTGACTTATTTTAGTCGGGCATGCAAGTCTTATTTAAATAACTATCCTGGATCCGTGATGGGGAGATTCTTATGTAGTTTTAAATGCTGAATCAGAATATGACCTCCAATTTTTCCTATCACCCTCCATTTTATCGGAAAAGTAGATTTTTCTTGGAGAACGTGTTTTTTGGTATATTTACAAAATTTTCCCAGAAAATCGAGTTTTCCGTGAAAATGGTGGGTGATAACGAATTTCTGAGGTCAAATTCGGGTTTTCCAGCTCAAATTACATAACAATCGATGTATCACACATGCAGAAAATTTTTCAAATTTCCCTGGAGGTGGGGACAGTTCGGAAAAGCTTTTTCCCCGGAAAAATCTGACTTTCCAGAAAATGGGGGATTGTCAGAGATGAATAGAGGTCAAATTTGGATTCAGCTGCTCTTAATATAGCAGGAGAGATCCAGAAAGGATCTCAGAAAATTTCTTAGACTCCTCACAACAGGAAAATCGTCCAAAATACACCTAGAAAGTTAGTTTTCTAAGAAAAATCGTGGGTGATCGGAAAAATCCAAGATCATATGCGGGTTTAGCGAGTCAAAATACATAGGAATCGATGTATCACACGTCGCAGACATGTTTAAAATACATTTTTATCCCCTTTGAGTCCGGGAAAGCTTATACTTAAATTTAGGCTCTGAAAGATCGACATTACCGAAAAATTCGGGGGTGATGGAAAAAAACCGAGGTCATATTCGGATCCAGCGGCTTAAAACACATAGGAATGACTGTACCACGGGTCCAGGAAAATTTATACAAATAAATGGCATGCATGAAAAATATACTTCAAATTTGCTCATTTTCCTGGGAAAAGTCACTTTCCCGGAAAACTGAGAGGTGACAGGGAAAAATGAAGGTCATTTTCGGACTCAGCGGCTCAAAATACATCGGAACAGTTGGTGATCATACGTGGTAGATTTGGTAGATAACACGGTGATGAATGAGGAAGTAACTGAAAGAAACTCATATTTCCAATCACATGGTGTATTTTGCAGTTTTTTTTTTTTTGGCACAAAGGGATGCGCTTCAGTGGAAAGGCAGTAACTAATAGAAAAGCATGAAGGGGGAAATGACGTTGACACAACTTGAGACGGAATGCATAGTCACTCCTTCAAAATATTCTCTCTCAAGAAAGTACCCAATTTGTGGTTGACTTTGGGATCGCGATATTTCTGAGGATTTCTTAGAAAAGGAAGGTTGTAAAAAATGCTTGAACTGTACATCCTTCAATTCTGATGAAGAAGAGGATAATTCTGGTTTGTCATCATTAACAATCATCTGATAGTAATTAGTGTCCTAAGCAAGTAAATAATTAGTTGAAAGGTTATGTTATTTAAAGTAGATAATTTTCCAGTTGCCTCCAACTTCGTAAAGAACATGAAAGTGTATTAGTCTTTCACTGTAGGAAAAATAGGCAGTATTGGGAAGTTATTTCTGGTCCTCCAAAGTGCTTTTATTGTTTCAAATTATTTATGAAAATTCATCTTTTGATCAACTATTGGATTCTCTCTTTCAGACATTCCAATGCGTGGGAGGAGGACAAGCTGGGGCCGTGGGCATGTAGGACCACCCACGGAAATAATTGCTCCACAACCTGCACAGCAACCTCCACCGCAGCCTTTACCACAACCTCCTCTGCAATCAGCACCTGCACCGATTCCTCCACAGGAGCCATGATGTCTGGGTAAGACATCTTATCAATATTATTGTGGAAATTACTCACAGTATTGATATTTCCCATTCCTGAGGGGGAAGCTAGGGTTAGGAATTAAAATTTGCACCGTAGATAACACATTTCGTATCACAAGGTTGGTTTAGACTTGGTCGGAACAGTGAAACTGTTGCAGGAACAAGTTGATGAAGAAAAATGTTACAACGGTGAATGAAACCTTCAATGTTAATGCTAAGTAAATATGAATGGTATGTGAATCCAAAGTAAATGCTAGAAAGAAAAAACTTGGATACTTGAGGCTTCTGACGTTGAAAGATTTGTTTAGAGTTGAAACATTTTTGTTCATCACCTCTTTCCTGCAACTATCAGGGTCCGTTCTCTGAGTCGGCCAAGGCTCATGGTCAATAAGGTGAAATAGTAGAACAAACTTGAATGCAAAACCAGTATACTTCTCCCAGAAGTTTAGGAGTGGTAATTTTAAAAAAATTAAAAGAGGGGCAGATTTTAAATAGAAGAGACTTCCAAAAGTAAGTATCTTTTTGCTGAAACTTCTACACTACTGCATTAAATTAAAATCTGTAAGAAACCGCTTATTGGTCATAATTTCAGCTTTTTAACGAGCTATAGTATTTTAAATTTTGTTCAGTAGAATGGCAGAAAAATTATTTTTTTGTGAACCCACCTCACCACCAAACGGGTTTAAAATTCCATGTTGGTACATCGGCGCAGCAACTACTCGGTGTCAAAGTGCAATCACGATTTTGTAACATCAGACAGCCACAATTCTTAGCTAAAGGTTCCTTTTTTATAAGATAACCAAAAATGCACCACAATGTGGACATCAGCGTGGTATTAGTTGTATTTCAGCTACTTTTTGTGAAATTGCATCACAAGCGTTCTAGGGGGCTTTCGTATCAAATCATGGAGTTACCCAGAAATCTCGTTCATCTATAAGGAGTTGTATGCTGAGGGGATTAATAAGCTTGTCCAACATTACATTTTATCTCATGTCTTGTTTAAATTTCGGACGGACTGGTAGCGTGAAATTTTGGACCCATGTGGTCCGGAGGTGAGTTCACAAAAACAACTTTTTTGACATTCTGCTGAACCAAATTTTAAAGGAAAAATAAAACCTTGCAAGAAAGGGGACATCATGACCAATGAACAGTTTTTTTCAGACCTTTATTTCATGCAGTAGTAAAGAAGTTACGGCAAAAAGATACTTTTATTCGGAACGACCCTCGTACATAAGTAAAGTTGCAATGGTTACAGTCGAAAAAAAATTACAAGTGGAATAGGATGTGCACTTCATATTCCTATTTTCATATGTTGGAATGTAGTAGGTCCAATTCATAGCAGTTCAAAAAACAAATTTCAGTTAAAGAGGCTGGCAATTTGTCAACGATTATGATGTACTTGAGGGGAGGTAAGGAAAGACTCAATACATCTAGACTATCCATAGCACAAAGGCTGCCATAACTTGGCTTAGAACCTCATTTTCTCTCCCTCTCCTGATATTTTCTGAGAATCAGACAATGATACATGTTTGAGGGGTATTTAAGAAAGACAGATCAACGTCTACTTTTTTGATTGGTGGCATTTTCCATCGTGAATTGTCACGATAAGCAATCATAGTTGGCAACAGGGGAAGAACTTTGATAATTCAGGTGCCCTCCTCATCGTCGCCGTTAGGGAATGATGCACGTCTGTTTTCTAAAAGGGAAAAGAGAATGCCTTTAATTTATTCTCTTGTGAGAGGAACTGTAGGATCAACATTCCTCTGTCAGACAATTAACACTATTTGAAGAACTTTGATAATTCAGGTGCCCTCCTCATCGTCGCCGTTAGGGAATGATGCACGTCTGTTTTCTAAAAGGGAAAAGAGAATGCCTTTAATTTATTCTCTTGTGAGAGGAACTGTAGGATCAACATTCCTCTGTCAGACAATTAACACTATTTAGCAGTTGCAAGGATAACATTTTAATTATAAAACTACAAGGAGTTTTGCCAGACCATTACTTCAAGAGGAAAATTGACGTGAAGTTTCTTTATGTGAGTTCAATGAAGCAGGACATTTTGGGGTGTAAGCTCCTCCATCTTGTGGCATTTTTGTCGAGGAACCTTTGAGCATTTTCAGAGGGGTTAAATATTAGTCTCCTTCAGGTGCTTTCAGAGGATTAAGAAATCACTCTGTTCTTTAAGGAAACTGAAAATAGGGTTATATTTGACGTTCGAAATAAACATGTATAGGAGGAAAAATAAATAAATGATGCAGTAGATTTGCAGCTGATAATTAAGTTCAATTGTTTGCACAGTCTCCTAAGTCATTGTTATTGGACTGTGTCCAATTGATCTTGTCCATTGTCTTTTGGAAGGAAAAATCACAAGAAAAATTGTAATTTTAAGCAGGCGTTGGTTCCAGAATTAGGTTTGGCAATTGAGACGAAGAATTTTTACTTCCAACAAATCCGTTATCTAAGTTTTCGAACTTGTTATCAAAATTTATCAGTATTTTGGGAATCTCGCCCCTTTTTGTTTTTCATCTAATCACATTTTATCTAAGAAAAGTTGTTCAAAGTAGCGGAAAATCAAAGTTTTTTTTCAAAGTTGGTCCAGGAAGAGCTGAGTGTGTTTCGGCATTCCTTTTTCATGAGTGTACACTCCCTACCAAATGAGGTTATGTTGTTAAACAGGATTACTGTTTTTAGGGGTTACTGTAATTCTTTTAGTAAAGGTTCCTTCTTTTAATTATACTATTGAAAATTCGTGTTGCAGGAGAAATAACAATCAGTTCCGAAGAGGAGCCGCCATCCGCAGACTCATTGAGAACTGGTAAGTGAAAGTATTTACAACATCGGAACTTGGCAACCATAAAAATACAGATTTTATCACTATTTTATCAGATGAATAAAGGAAAGAAGGGCACAGTAATTAATTTCAAGGTGTATTTGTTTGGATCCAAATTGTTGATGGGTTGCAGAAACACAGAATTTTCAGAGGACAGTAGACCAATTGCAAGTCTCTGATAGCGTATCTTCTAGATGAACCAAGCTCAAATTGGTTGTATCAAAAAGAGAAAAAAGTCATCACAAGAAGGAATGTAATTTTCTAGGTGTATTTTTAGGGCTGATCTCGAAACTTACGTTGGGTTTTCTGGATCCTCACGGTATGCTTGGAAAAATCAAATTTTGCATGTACTCCAAAAAAAAATCGCAGTTTATCACAGGAAATTCAGTTGTTTGGGAACTTAGTAAATAATGGAGGACAGGGGAAAGGAAAGAAGAGCCAATTATTGCATCAACCTAAGTGGATCAGTTATCATTTTGTTACCATCTAAATTTATGTTGAATTGTGTGATTCTCGGATGTGACATATGTGTCTTCTTTTCTTTCCCCAATTGGAAGTAGGTGATTGTCAAAAGCACCTTTTCTAAATCATTGCAAAAAGCCCACCTAGAATCAGTGACAAATTTTAGGCGATCTGAAGTGTCTGTTGACCAGTAGCCTGATTATTGATGCTCATGTCAGCACAAAAAGACTTAAAAAATCTATCAGTTAAAAGATTATCATGTGTTAGCCTCTGACAAAGCCTGATAGATAAAGCTTTAACAATCAGGCTATAGTGTCTCATGGTTGCTTCAATGAATTCAGGGGAGAATTAAATTTTTTCCAGTAAATGAAGAGCAAACAGGAGACTTGGATATCAGAAGTAACAACAAATTTATTAAGGATATTTTTGGTAAACAGGCATAAGTGCCATTAAGCCCATTTTCAGGAGTACAAGATTTCTGAATCCTCGTAAGATGGCGTATCCAATAAGATGGATGTAGCTTATACATGTTTCTGTACAATAGAAATGAACTAAAGATCATAGAGAGAGAATGGAATGCGAATTTTACAAAGTTTTCATGTTTATGGGGGAACATATAACCCTGATCCACTGTATAGTCGTCATCTCTACCCCTGCATCATCCATGCGTTGGCAACTAATGGACAAAGACTTCAGTACTCTAATTTTTCTATTTAAAATGAGAAAGGCGACATGTTTTTAGTTACAAACCCACCCCTCTCAATTACCATTCATGTTGAAAAAAAAACTTAAATAATAAGGAACATATCATCTCAGCAGCAGAAAGTCTCTTGCCAATAAAAGAACTTGTGCATGTTTTCAAACAAAAAAAACAGAAAACAAAATATGTTAGAAACCCGCACAGGGTAGCCATCTGCTGTTTTCCATACCCCTTTTCAAAGGTTCAGCAAGTCACAAAGGAATTAGAGTGTAGGCGCAGTTTAAGTAATGGAGGAAGTACATGGTGTTCAATCTTCAATTAGGGATTTTCTCCGAAATAAAATGTTCGGTATACAATCTTTTACTTTCGAATACTCAATGCTGAGGTTCAAAATGAAACAAACTCTACTCATTAGGTGCTCGTTATGTTATCACAAGCCGGAAACATTGACTAGAAAAGCATGATGATGGATATATGTAGTTGTGTCTACAGTGAAATATAATCATTGACTGAAGTTTACTGTTTTTCAAATTTGTGATTTCGAAATCACACTTATGTACTGAACTGTACGAAATTCCCTGATTAGTTAACTTGGACGTTTTTTTTTTTTCATTCACAGATGCAGTAGATTATACGGGATGCAGCTCTTGCGACAAGCCTGATAACTAGGTGAGTTTTCAATTTTTTGCCAGTACACTAAAAAATTGTATACGTAGTAAATCATTCTTGGAAGTGAAGGGTTTTTCCTTAAGATTTTACTCCTCCTTCAGGTTAGCCAAAGATAATCAGCTTTTTTACAAATTTTGTTTTTACCCATCTTTTCAAGTATGGTCTATGAGGACAAGATTTAAAAAGTTCCCCGAGAAAATCTGCTTAAAAAGTTTTTCAATAGTGCAATGACCAAGCTGTTTATTATTTTTGTTGTTTTAAATTTTCTGATACTGAGGACACTTTTCGTATTCGTCAACTAAGATATGTTTCGAAATAATGCGGTGAGATGAAACGGATGCTACAGATACAAATTTTCGGAAGTGAGAACTTGTCAATTGGAAATGTGGAGCTTGTGGTGACAAAACGGTTGCAAATGAGGATTAGGTAAGAAACTTGTGTAAATTTAATGATGATAGTATTATCCTCCAGAAAATTTTGAAGAGAGATTTCATGCATGTTTTTTCCCCCTTCATATCCTTGAAATTGAGATAAGAGAAGCTTTCGAAGGGAAAATGGCAAATTATAATACGAAGACCTCGAATTACTAAAGGTTATAAGCCTAGGCCTGATATAATTAAGTCAAGTTTTCAAAACGTCAATGAAGTCCTAGACTATTTGCATTCCTCTAAGATGATGTTTTGAAGCCAAAGCTGAAGGAGGAATGAAACTAATGGAAGATTATTGAGTTTTTTCAAAGAGCGTACCGGTATGTCAGTTCATTGTCCAGTGGACTTGTGGATGCAGAAAACTTCATCCAACTAGAAATAGGCAGATGACAGTGAATGGCATAAGAGACAAGTATGTTCTTTATAGGAAGAGAAAAAAAACTTTTGGTGAGGCAGCCATTGGTAAAATAGAATTACTTTTTTGGATCTCAAGGTATGTGGTCCTCTTGACCAGTGATGTTTTTAATCCTTGGCTTATCATGAGTTACACAAATTTCAATCGTTTCATGCAGAGGCCGCTCATGTCCATTCTTCCTGTCTTGAGTTTTTTTGAGTTGATAATACATTCAAGAGTTGAATTTAATGATGAATGTGGCATTATTACTTGTTTTACACTTTGATGGTGGTGTCAAATCTTGAAAATTATTATGAGCACAAGAAAACTAAAAGCTGGAAAAATATACATTACAGACTTTCGCACAACATGACTCAATTATGAAATGATAAACGCCAGAAAAGATGAATTTTGAAACTTAGAATTATGGTTTACATAACTTGGCAACACCTCATAAGGGGCAGGGTTGCCACAGTCAGGGAATTTTATAAAGTCAGGGAAAACTGGGAAACGTCAGGGAAAATTTGTTGAATCTTCTTCATTTGCTTTCTATATTGGGTTTGATGTTTCAAACTACAAATTTTAGTCAAATTATGTCTTCTTAGCCTTTCGCCGTATCTTCATTTGTCAGGGAATTTCACCAAAATGTATCAGGGAAATGTCGGGGAATTTCATTTTCTAAATTTTGTGGCAACCCTGTCTGATCGAATGACTATTACTTTAATAACCGTAACTTGCTCTGCTATTCCACTTACTTGACAGTTGATGATTACATATTTCTTTTCTCATGTTTCCAGATGCTTGAATCAGGCAGCCTAGAACACATGTCTTGAAAGAAAATGCCAACTATTTTCGTTCCTCAATGATTACCTTTAGACGGAATTGACGCTGCTCATAATTGTTTTACTTCTCTCTTACTGCCTTTTTTAAACAATATATATTTTTTTTAAATTTAATGATCATTTTGTTTACTTGCTAATTATAATATTCATTTATTAGTGTTTAAATACGTTAGTGAGTTGCTTGTGTAACACTGATTTTTGTTCCTTTTTTTGGAAACTTGAATGAATTTCATGCGCTCATGTAAACAAGCTCGTTCTTAGACTAACAGTGCAAATATGGCAAAGAGGGTTATACAAAATCGGCGATTTTACCCCCCTCTTGGATTTTGCCCGGAGTTGGATATGTTGTTCCCTATCACAAGACACGCCTTTTTCCGGCGTTGGCAAGTTCACCCGAAATTTTTCCCGCGCGCTACAGCGTTGCCAAGTTGAAAACAGGCAAATTCCGTAAGTGGCGTTAAAATTGAGCTATGAAGTTGCGGTTTTAACGAAAATTCTCTAAAAATTACGTACTTTTAGGAAATGACCATCAATTTAATGTCGCATTAATTTTAACATGCATTGTTGCCAATTTTTCGATTTTTTAATTCGACTAATTTTACAAATCCGCAAATACCCAAAAAAGCTATCTTCAAATTTGAATAAAAAGTTGTTTAATCGATAGTTCGTTTGATTACGCATCCATCGGTATATTATAGCTCGCTGGGAAACGTTTGGTTCGCGAGATATCATCATTTTTGTAAACAGCTTTATGGAGCGACGACGCTTTTTGAGTCCGGGCGGATAGAAATTTTAGCCTCCAAAAACACAGGTCAGCATTAATTCCATGGTTTCCTATGTAATTTTTGGCGTTGAATCCGAATTTGACCATTTCATAACAAAATTGTCACCAAGAAGTTGCCAAATTTGGCAAAAATGGCTTAAAATCGGCCTTTTTGGCGGATTACAGCCAGTGACTTGCCAGGAGTTGATCAGACGACAAAATTGGTTATTTCCACAGTTAAAACTCGTTGAACTTTCTACAAGCTGAGTCAAATTCTTCCTGCTCACGGCAAAATTAAACGCGCGACAAGCAGCAAACTGAAAAAAAGACACAAAAATCGGCGCTTTTTGCGGTTTTTGTCCTAAGTTTCTTGTTTTCCGA